GCATCGCTTCTAGTAACAAGTGCCTTACTACTAGTAACAAGAAGCTAGTAGGAACAAAGGGCATCGCTACAGAGATCGGTAAATTGGGATGCTAGAATTCCATCTGCACCGCCGCGCACTGGATGAATAGTTAGAAGGATCTACTAGCAATAGCATCCAACCTACTAGCGATGGGCTCCACCCTAGTATTTATTGTGCTCTTTCGTATGTTATTCCTTTATTTTCGTTCAACCTGCTTTCTGTTGTTCGTCTCTTGCCTTTATAAGCGACGGTCTAGTGCAAGTGATATGAGAGGAGAAAGCCAAGTTCTGTAGCTGTTGACGTGCGGCTGGCTGGAACTAGAATGTACAAGCAGAGCAGCCATCCTCCACACAGTCCGCCAACGCTGCTCATTCTTACGGATGCACAGCCAGCTCATTCTTGATTGAAGTGGAAACGGCTATTGCTATCTGGGAACACTATGTAGATAGAGCGATTCCGCCGTTAGTTGGTTGCTCGCTTCCCTGCTTGGTTGCTTGCTTGATTGGTTAACAGCCCATTCAAGAAAACGGAGGGGAAGATGAAAGAGTGGGGAGCCGGTTCCTGCAGCGTCCTTGCTCCTAGTAGTAAGGCCAGGAGTCCCTAGTAGCATCCTTGCTCCTAGTAGCAAGAATGCTACTAGTAGTGGCGCAAAACAAGGAAGCAAAGCACAAAGGAATGCCTCCCCACTCTGCATGACTTCCGACTCAAAGGCTCCAGCCTGGCCGGAAAAAAGAAATTGGACACCAAGCCTACGAGCAATGGCCTCCAAACATGAAAAAAATCGGAAGACTATCACCTCTTTTTCCTTCTTTTTTCTGAAACTCCCAGAAACTAGACGACGCGCAGTTCTTCAAAGACGTCTTTTCCTTGCCGCCCCCTTTGAGCACAAATGAGCGCCAAAGTTCTCGTTTCCAACAGTTGTTCGTTCGTGCGTTTAAAAAACCCTGCAAAACGGAACTGTTCAACTGGGAAATGAATGCAATGCAAGTTTTCAAAAGAAATGAGCCGAGTTTCTCATATGAAAGTGTCAAGCATTGTGAAGATCTTTTCGAAATTCAAGCAACCGTAACCCGTCCTTTTTTTAGTGTCTTTTATTGGTAGTGTCGCATAGTTTCGCTCGTTAAAATTGTTGCTAGCAGAATCAAGTGAGTCGTTCTGTCTCCTGAGATGAGCTTCGTTTCAAAAAAACATGAAATTTTTGCACCAAGAAGTGTTCCTATAAACTATAGCAACCATCTCTTTGTATCACGGTCACATCCCAAATGTCGAGGAACTCAATCTTCGATTCCACTAAAAAAAATGCTTGAAGAAGTAACAAATTCCACCTTTAGCTATCAATTCTGAAATTGAGGAAAGAAATATTGCAAGTTTGTAGTCAATCGTCCAACCGGACGAATCCCTTGCCCTCCCATCAGCGTCGCAAGAACCAAACGAACGAAGCCAAAAATCGAAGGGGTCAAAAGGAAAAACAAAGCCTTTGAAGATGTTCCAAAAAGAATCACCAAAGCCAAAAGATTGAAATGCTAAAATGACGCAACACATCGCAACACTCCAAAAGCTTCAACCCCCAAAACCGTTGGTATTTGAACGGAGTTTTGCATCGGTTCCAAGTTCACACCTGTCAAGGTGCCAGGTTCCAGGTTCCACCAATGAAGGACGCGAAGAAAACGCAGAAAAGAACGACACGACGCGACACCCCGACACCGGATAAAGTGCGGCGCGATGACCGGAACTGTTCTTGTTGGGCAACAAATTCATATTATCTAAATAGGTGGTATGGAACACTAAGTCAAAAACGGTCGAAGAGTTGTCAGGAGCAAGGGCATCGCCACTAGGGGCTCCTGGCCTTACTGCTAGGAACAAGAACGCTGCTAGGGGCTCCTGAAAGCTACAGGTTGTCGAGTCGAAATGGTTCGTGAAATGCCTCCAGGAGCCGCTTGACGAGAGCCACATTTCCCTGCGACGACAGACGTGACACATATGAGGGCATGGCCTCCAACCTACTAGCGATGGCCCTAGTAGCGTCCGATCGCTCCTAGTAGCAAGGCCAGGAGCCACTAATAGCTTCTTGTTACTACTAGCGATGCACCTTGTTACTACTAGCGATGGCCTCCCTCGTGAATCAGTTGGCAGTTGGTCAAGCATCTCGTGAACTTTTTCTGAACGCTTCGAAAGCGAAGCCATCACCTTCTTCAAAGCCATCATCAAAGGCGTACGGCCAAGCCTAAAAAGACAAACGAGTCTAAGGCAGGTATAACAGGGTCGCTGTTGGCCAATGTGAATGCTTTCCAACATCGACATCACACATCTCAACTAAGAGACCATCGCTTCTAGTAACAAAGGGCATCGCTACTAGGAGCAAGGACGCTACTAGTAGCTCCTGGCCTTACTACTAGTAACAAGAAGCTACTAGGGACTCCAGGCATCGCTATTAGTAACAAGAAGCTGGATGCACTCTTTTCAACCAGATTCATAGCGTTTTGGTCTCGAAGTAGAGACCATCTCAACTAAGAGACCGGCACATCTCTTCGCCCAACATCCGCACGCGCCTTCCGCAACGGAAACGACGGAGGAAGTTCGATGGGACGCGTTCGCGTAGCCATGCATAGAAGCATAGCATAGCCCGGCGCTTGGCACTTCGGTTCTCTGAGAGCGTTTGAAAGCGTGGTACGCCGGTGTAGAATGTGTTCTTGTCAAAATATGTTATTTTTTTTCAAATATTCAATTGATTCCATGTCCAGAATCTGTTGTTTCTTTCTTATCAGTTGGAGGCCATCGCTAGTAGGTCGGAGGCCGCTCTTAGGTTGGAGGCCATTGCTTCTTGTTCGCTCCTCAATGACCAAGGCCACCATGGGGGAGGAGCCGCTCTCCACAGCCGAATGGATGGCACACAGCCCTACGCCACACATCCGAAAGAATGATTCACTTTGGATCGAGAAAAGAAGCTACTAGTAACAAAGGGCATCGCTACTAGGAGCAAGGACGCTACTAGGGGCTCCTGGCATTACTACAAGGAACAAGAGGCTACTAGTAGCTAGAAGCTTCCTTGGGAATGTAGGGCAACTCAAGGTAACTCAAGATAACTCATTACGGGGAAAGTTGAAAGCTCCGAAGCCAATGGCATCTTGCACCTTTGGAAATGCGTCACATGCGTCACCTTTGTTTGCCCCCGCTCGACTATATAGACTTTTGCACCTTCGACTGGAGAATGAAGAAGCTCGTCATCTAGCAACTTGAAAGCCTCACAGGATATGCAGGCCAGCATGCCACCATGGCACAAAGATCTCGCCAGAGATCTCGCCTTGGCAAAGTCCTTTCGCAAAATCACCTGGATTCAGCTGAAGAGTGTTCGGTCCGGAGCCCGGTGGAGCATCGGAAGAAAAGGAAAAACTGAAGCCAAAGGGGCCTCCAACCGATGCCAGGAGCCCCGTTCGTAGCTTCTTGTTACTAGTAGTACGGCCAGGAGCCCCGAACGTAGCGTCCTTAGTAGCGTCCCTTGCTCCTAGTAGTAAGGCCAGAAGCACCTAAAAAGTAAAAATAAAAGTCCGAATGGTCTGAAAGACTCAATGACAGATTTTCAAAACAAAGCCATCCTCGCGGAGCTGTGCAGCTGGAGCTCTGACTCGGAAGAATGACGGAACAAAAGGAATCCACGTGTGAATCCACCCTAATAGCGATGACCTCCAACCTACAAGGGATGGCCTCAAAACCTAGTAGCGATGGCCTCCAACCTTGTGAATCCATAAGAAATACAAGTGACATAGAATTATTTTACGTCTGAAAACTACATACGGCATTTTACGCAAGGAATGCCAACTTGCTTCCATGTTGCTAGCAACTGAACTCGCTCCTAGTAACAAGTGCATCGCTCCTAGTAACAAGTGCCTTACTAGTAGTAACAAGAAGCTATTAGGAACAAGTGC